GCCCCAAAAGGGGCCCTTTTCCCTCATGGGGAGAAGGGGCGCCTCGGGGGGGATAAAGGGCTTAATTTTGTTTTTTGGCCCCGACCCCCGGGCGTGAAAGGGCCCCCTTTGCCCCCTTTTCAGGATAAATGGGGGGGTTTAAGATTGGGGACGACCCCGGGTGGGAAAAAATTGGGGTAGAGTTAATGGGGCGCTTCAAAAAGGGGGGGGTCATTTGGGGGAGTTTGGAGGTTTCCCAAAAGGAAATGGAGAAGGGGGTTGTAAACCTGGGGCCTGCGGACCAGTTGGGTAAAATCATCCGGTGGAGGTGGTTGGGGGAATTTCCCCCCCCTCCCCCCCCCCCCCCCTCCTTCCTTGGGGCTCCCAATCCCAGCCCCTGCCGCCCTCACCGCCCTCCAAGTGCCCCTCCCCACCCCCTTTTTCCCTCCCCCACCACCACCACCACCACCACCACCACCACTCCCCAGCCTCCCCCTCCGGTTAAACCCTAACCCCCCCCCACCCCCCCCCCCCGGCCCGCCCGCCCCCCCCCAGGCATCATGGACCACGAGGAGGCGAGGCGGAAGCACACCGGAGGGAAGGTGCTCGGCTTCTTCTATTAGACACCCTCGCGACAGGCCCTCCGCTGCAGTGTGCAGCGCGGGGCCGGGGCGCCTCGTCTGCTCTCGCCGCGCCCCCCCTTCCCCCTCCCCCCCTCCCCTCCCTCTCCCCCTGGCCGGCGATGCTGCCGCCAATCTACCCCACGCCCACGGAGGCGCGGCGCTGCGAGGCTTTTGCGGCGCAACCGCCCGTGTGTGTGCGGCCCGGGGGAGAAGCGGTGTTGGCCAGGTCGAGGTGCAGGTGGAGAGGGATGGATGGAAGGGGCGTGTGTCGGTCGCTGAAATGATGGCCGCGCCTCGGGAGTGACCGTGGCTTGTGGGATAGAAGCATAACAGCACTAATCAAAAAGGCTTTCGTGCGCTCGCGAAGTCGCTCGCGCTCTCTCTGAAGCCGGCTCGTTGGGGCTTGGGCAAGAACCAAGCAGCGCTGCGAGCGCCGTGAGCGGATCGGTGATCGCGGATGTCTCATTGGGTAATTGAATCGTCTCGATGTGTGTGGTCGTGTGCGTGTGTGCGTGCGCTGTGCGGGGTGTGCGGATGGGTCGAGTCTCGAGAGCTGTGAGCACAGTGAGCTGTGAGCTGTGAGGAGGGCTCTGCGCGCATGGGTCGCGACCCATCGGTTCCCATGCCGCCCTAGATGCCGCAGTCGCCGGAGAGTGAGAGAGGGAAAGGCACCTGCCTCCCGTCAGGCGTCGGGAGCTTCGTGGATCTATCGCGGTCACCTCTCCGCACCAGGCTCCCGCGGGGCAGCCAAGCCACCCACGCCGCCGCCTCCGCCTCCCACGCCGCCGCCTCCGCCTCCCACGCCTCCGCCTCCGCCTGCCGCTCCGCCCCCGCCCCCGCCTCCGCCTCGCCGGCCTCGAGGATCGTCGTCGTCGCTTCCGTCGCCGTACTCGTCGTAGCCCTCGTAGTAGTCTCCGTACTCGTCGTAGCCCTCGTAGTAGTCGAGCTCGTCATAGTCCACGTACCTGCTCGCGAGGCGTGCGGCCCTGGGGCGACGCCGCGAGACACCCTCGCGAGTCGGAGAGGCGCGGGGCGCCGCATGTGCAATCTCGCGTGCAGTCTCGGCTACTCTCGCGCACCCCTCCTCCAGATACCCCTCCTCGTACCCCTCCTCCTCCTCCTCCTCCTCGCCGCCCCCCTCCCCCTCTCCGCTTCCCCCCTCCTCCCCCTTTCCCACCGGACCCGCCCGCCCCGACGCCATCACAGCGCCGCCCTCGCCCTCGCCCTCGCCGCCCTCCCGCCACGTCTCGAGCCGAAACTCGGCCGGCACGTCCGCGCCAGCCTCGCGGTAGATGTCCGACGCCCCGCCCTCGCCCGGCTCCCCCGCGCCGCCCCCCTCCGCCCACCACAGCTCCTCGCCACCGGCGGCGGCGGCGGCGGCGGCGGCGTCCGGCGCGCGCGGCGCACGCGGCGGTGGCGGCATCTGTAGCGCGACAGTGGCGCCTGCGGCGGAGAAAAGACAACCCGAGGGTACGGCCGAGGCGAGGCGAGGCCGAGGCGAGGCCGAGGCGAGGCCGAGGTGCAGCCGAGGTGCGGCCGAGGTGCAGCCGAGGTGCGGCCGAGGTGCAGCCGAGGTGCGGCCGAGGCTGGGGAGTGTTATTGGGATGTGCCGTCGGGCCGGTGCTGTCGGGCCATGCCGCGTGAGTGCGGAGATAGGTGGAGCCTCTCTCTCTCTCTCTCGCGGCTACATCTCGGCTGGGTGAGCAGTGCTGTAATTCATTCATCAATGATTAAAAGAGAGTACCGAGCTCGAGCCAGTGATCCTCGAGCTGGATCGAGCGACGCGCCTGCGGCAGGTGCGCGTCTCCCTCCTCACCGCCCTCCTCACCGGGACGGATCTCCCGTTAGCCACGCTCGGCCAAGGCGCTGCCGGGCTCAGGCTCTCGGGGTCTCGGCCAGTCTCTGCGCTTTGATTAATTAGTTCTTTAATCTCGGGGTCTCGGCCAGTCTCTCTGCGCCTCGCGCGTCAGCACCGAGACGACGGCGCGGCCTCCATCGACGAGCATCCACTCGTCCGACTCGCCCCCCTCGATGAGCGGAGGACCACCTGCAGGCCACATGCCCCAGACATGTCCTGGACGCGTCCTCGCAGCAGCCCTGCCGTGAGCGGCTCGTGCGCCAAACATCAGCACGCCGCTCTGCTTGAGGGAGTGGGAGACGGAGCGCGCGAGCGTCCGCATGTGCGAGCGCGACCTGCCGGAGGACGCGTCGTCGGTCGCCGTGGGCAGCTGTGGGTGTGCGAAGCGGGTCGTGGACGGGATGTGTCTCGGAAGAGTCTCGCACCGTGCAGAGGCGAAGAGGAACCAGTCGACGGACGGCTTGGAGGGGACGGCGCGCAGGTCGAGCACCGCCACCTCCTCGCCGCGGCCCTCGACCAGCAGCTCGGCGAGGGTGCGGACGGCATACTTTTGGCCGGAGGCGTCGCCCTCAGCCTCGGAGAGCCGCGCAAGAAGTTCGTCGGACGCTGACTGCGTAGGCGGCTGCCGCACGTTGAGCGTTAGGGCGGACGGCAACGCGGCGGCGGACTGGCTGGCGGAGGAGGAGAGCGCGCGTCGCGCCGCTAAACGCAACATAGGAATCCTTCCTCATGTGTTTCTTCTTTCTGAACTCACCACCGATGAGTGAGTCGGCGAGCAGTAGGCCGCTAGCCTGTGAGGGAGCGTCCATAGACACCTCACAAGACCCCACACATGTCACATGGTCTTGTCCGTGGGCTCACCCCTCTCCCGCTGCTCTCCTCCCTACCCTCCCTGCCATCGCTGCCCTCCCTGCCCTCCCTGCCCTCTCTCTCTCCCTCCCCCCCACCCTCCCTCCCTCGACCCTCGCTCCAGGCGCGGCGGAGGGCGTGCGGCTGGTCGAGTACACGCGCAAGCTGGTGCAGTCGGAGGGCGCCGCCGCGCTCTACCGCGGCCTCACGCCCTCGCTCATCTCGGCGACGCCAACTCCGCCGCGAGAAGAGTTGTCATGATGGTCGTGGTGCTGGCGCTGAGGAGGGGTGCTGCTGCGCAGGTGATGCCCTACTTCGCCGTCCGCTTTGGGGCGTACGACATCATGCAGCGCTGCTACGCGGGCCTGCCGCCCGACGACGAGCGGAGGCGGCTGCTCGGCACGCTCTCGCCGGCGGCGACCTTCGGCATGCTCGCCGGGATGGCGGCGTGGGCCGTCATTCTCGGGCGGGGAGCTCCCGACTATGGCCGTCGCTACTTGGGGAGGATCTCGTGCGCTAGGCGTCGAGCTTGACGTTCCCCTTCGAGCTCGTGCGGCGGAGGGCGATGGTCGGGCCCTCCGAGGCGAACCCGCTGGCCGCAATGCTCCGGATCGCGCGCGAGGAGGGGGTGCGGAGAGGGCTGTACAAGGGCTTCGGGCTGAGCCTCTTCAAGGCGACAGCCCGAGAGTGGCCGAGACCGAGATCGCCCGAGAGATCGCCCGAGATCGCCCGAGATCGAACGAGACCGCCCGAGATCGCCCGAGATCGAACGAGATCGCCCGAGATCACCCGAGAGATGCCCGAGGTGACATGCGCTGTGTTCAAGGTGGCGCCGTCGTCTGCGGTCACCTTCGTGGCGTACGAGGCGTGCTTCCGCACCCTCACGCGGCTGGCCGAGAGCTGGGAGCGCGAGGAGCTGCTCCGCGCGCAGCTCGAGCTCGAGGCGCCGGACACCGCGACGGCGTGAGGAAGTGGAGGGCGGCGTGGGGCGCGGCGCGCGCGAGAGCGCGGGCGGCGCTCTGGGCGGCGGCTGCGCGCCGTGACGGGGGCGGCCGAGGCGGGCGCTTGCCGCCAGGCGCAAGCGGCCGCGCGCACACTGTACTTGTGCGGGGGCACGCGTGATTGTTCCGGCGCAAAGCGCGTGTGTCGCCAGCTTGCGCGAGTCCTTGTCGGCCGTGGCGGCCGCCAGGGCTAAGGAGTGACCTTCCGAAAACACTTGCGTGGTGCGTGGACCGCTTCACACCTCCCTCCGCCTGGCCTCTCCTCTCGCTCTAGATCTCGCGACCAGGACCACACGAGCCACCAGCACCACACACCACACTCCACAGAGCACACCGATGTAATATGACACACATCACTCTGGGTCATGACTGACCGCCCCAGGTCCCCACGAGGTCGTCCGTGTAGATAGATATAGAAAGGCGAAGAACAGAGCCCCCCTCGCGGCGAAAACCTCGCCTGCACATTTAAAGTCACCCCCCCCACCCACCCACCCACCCACCCACACCACTAGTGAGTTCGGAGGGCCGAGCTTTTGCTATCATTCATTTTGCTATCATTCACAGCTGCAAGCCCGCCTGAGTTCGTGGGGCCGAGCTTTTGCTTTTGACATCAAGCCGACGAGTGTCCAAGGCGATCCTCTGCTTTGCGCCCTCGCCCTCGCCTCCTGCCCCTCCGCTGGCCGGCGAGAAGCGACCCCCGCTCCCATCCCACTCACAGGTGCGTCGACGCTGCTTCGTGGGCGCCTGCGCCCCCTCCACTCGTAGACCACACGCCACTCCCACCGACGCACAAACCAAGCAAGCCACACAGCCCCCGCCACTGAGTTACACATCCCCGGCGCAAATTCGGGGGCGGCGTCATCGGCGGCGCGCGCAATGCTTCGGCCTTCCCGGCAGCCGGGACGGCGCTCATCTTCCCACTACGAGAGCTTCGCTCTTCTGTCGACGACGCCTCTGCGCAGAGCGCGAGGGTCAGGCCGACTTCACCTCCGCCGGCTTGCCATCTTCACCCCATCGCCGCCCTCAATCGCCGCCAGCATCGCGATGGTCTTCATCACCGCCGCCATCATCGCCGCCGCCTTGATCATCTCCGGCATCATCATGCCCGCCGCCGCCGCACCCACGAGGCCGACGTCTTGGAGGCGCCTGCACTTTATGGTCTCGGCTGAACGGCGCGCGGCTCATCCCGACCTTCACTCCCATCGCCCGCTCCCACTTACCGCACTCGCAAACCCATCGCGAATCGACGCGCCTACCTCCCCCCCCCCCCTTCTGACTTCGCCTGCAGGTCGTGCGGCCCAGCCGCTCTCGGCAGCCCCGACTCCCTGCGTCCTGCGTGACGCCCGCTCCTTAGCCCACGCCCTCGCCATGGCGCCTTCCTCGCCGCCGTCACCACCGGTCACCGCCGCCCTCGCCGCTCCGCCCGCCCTCGGCCGCCCTCGCCACGCCCTCGCCGCCGCCCTCGCCGCCGCCCTCGCCGCCGCCGGCCCGCCGCCGCCACCCTCGCCGCCGCCCTCGCCGCCGCCGCCGCCGCCCTCGCCCTCGCCCTCGCTACCGCCAGCCCTCCGCCAGCCTCGCCGCCGCCTCCGCGCTACCTTCCGCGCCACCGCTACCCTCGCCGCCTTGCCGCCTTGCCGCGGCGCACCCTCGCCGCCCCACCATCGCCCATGTCAGCGCCGCCGCCGCCGCCGCCGCCGCCGCCGCGTCGCCAGTGCCTGCCTCCACTACCCGAGCCGACTCCATTTGCACCGCCGTCGCCCTGGCCGCCGCTGCCCTCGCCGCCGCCGCCGCGCGCCGCCGTCCTCGCCGCCGCCGCCCCCTCGGTCGCCGCCCGCGTGTAGCCGCCGCCCTCGACCTCGCCAGCCGCCGTAGCTGTCGCTCAACTTTCGCGTTCGGACTTTGTCTCCCCCTTCCCCTCCCCTTCAGACCCCGCCCCATCACATGCCACCTAGCCTTTCAGAAATCTATAGCCTGAGCCCCCTCACACCCCTTCCGATGCCCGGCGTGTCAGGCTCTAGATCTATGTCCATGCTTGTGCTACTCACGATGCTCGTGCTGCCTGCGGCGGCTCTCCCGTCGCGCGAGGCCCTGTTTGCGAGCGTCGCGCCAGGCGGCAAGACCGAGTTCAAGCCCGTCCAGAACCCAAGGCTCAAGGACGTCAGCGGCATGTCCTACGTCGGCGGCGGCTCTTTCATCACGGTGCACGACATGAAGGGCTACGAAAATATTATGTGGCCGCGGGTGAGCCTGGTGCAGATTGCTTTCGACCTCGCGATCGGAATCCAGGTTGCCACCGCCATCCCCGCCACCACCCGATCGCGACCTCGCCCAGCGCCGCGCTCCCTCCTCATCACCGAGCGCAGCACCTCCCTCCCCCCCCCCCAAGCTCGTCCCCAATTTCTGCTCCGTCGTTATCACCCAGCGCGCCAACCCAGGTTGCGGAAATCGCCTACGACGAAAAGGATTGGCCAACCGACCGTACGTGCACCCGCACAAAGAAAGAGAAGACGCACACGTACAAGGGGCCCAACGATCTGGAGAGTGTTGCCGGCATCCCTGGCAAGCCGCATCTGGTTCTTCTGTGCGAGAGCACCAACTCGCGCAATGACAAATGCAGCAGCACCAACTCGCTCGACAAGGACTTCCCTGCCGACCGCATCTACCTGGCAGAGGTGAGCCTGAGCGATAACAGCGACGGCGCCCCCGACGGCGTAACGGCCGTCTCGATCTCGGACCACACGAGCTTCTCAAGCTTCACCTACTCCCACAACGTGGAGGGCACCGCGGTCGCCCGCTATGGGTCGTCGGAGGACAGGTACCTCTTCCTGTGGGCCGACCGCAACGAAACCACCATCCGCTGGGCCGACCTGGAGCTCGAGCCCAACCTTGTCATTCACAAGGAAAAGGGGAGCATGTCGTTCGAGTTATCGACCTTTGCTTCGTGGTCCAACCGCCCTGTGGTCGGCCTGGACGTCGATTCCGAGACCGGCGACATCTACCTCGTCACGTCGTACGACGCCGGCTCCGAAGCTTCTAACGCCATGGTCAGTGCCGACAACGGCCCTTACAGGAGTGCGACGTCAATAATCGGAAACGTCGACACGACCGACGGGAACGTTGTGATCTACAACGAACCGGGGAAGGTCTCGCACCACGAAGGGTTTAAGGTCGAGACAGTTGCTCGCGCCCAGAACATCTCAACCAACCCCTTCATGACCAAGTGCGTGCCCCTTCTGTACTTTGCGTGCCCCCTCTCACCAATTCACTACACACATACCTCCGCGCCCCAGGCACCCGGCGACCTTCATCGGCTCGGACGACGAGAACTACGGCGGCACCATCCGCAAGATTCAGTTTGGCCTGGGGGAGCCCTAGGAATGCGGCCGCTCAGCTCGCGGGCCACCAGCCCACGATCCGCTCCCTCTGTCGCGGGTCGCAAGGGGGTTGGTCCCGCTGCATGACGCGCACTAGGAGCCGCCGCCGCCTCTCTCTGGCGGCATCCAGATAGGGGCTGCCCGGACAGCGCGGCGGCGTGGCAAGCACCCGCGCGCCACAACGAGCGTGGCGGGCGACGCCTCGGGCCATGACTCTCTGTGCACACGTACACACACAGCGCGCTACATCGCGCTCGGCTCTCGCGCTCCCCGGACTGCTATCCCCACTGTGTCTGAGTGTCTGAGCTCTGACACTGCTTTATAAATAAGCCTTCTCGACCATCGTCCATCGACCAGGTTGCAGGTACGAGAGGTAGGGGTGGGGGACCAGGATCCAGGTGGTCCGACGTCGCCCACGCCCTCACATAGTGATGCTAATAGCGTAGGTCCTGGGCGCCCCTAGGGGTCCCTCACCCGGCTGGTATAGCTCCTTGGGCTTGGATACCGCCCGTTTCGGGCGCCCTCCGGGGGCCCCTTGCGCTCGGGCAGCAGGGGCATTGGCCCCAGACCCCCGGGGCGAACCCTCCGAGGCGCGACCGGCCTGATGGGCAGAGCGTGTCATCGGTGTCGATCTTTGCGATCAGAGCGAGCGCAAGGCCAAGCCGGTCCTACCGGCGATGCGCACGCGCTCGACAGGGAGGATGTGGCCCTCTGAGTTAATCTCGAGGAGTTAATGATAATGTGTGTACGCCAACTCAGGGTGTGTGAGAAAAACGCTGCACTATTGAGAAAAAAATAAGGACAACCCGGGCCCGACACGCGCGCCAGAGGACGGATATCAGTGATGACGAAACAGAAGCTAGCGCAGACGAGGGCAGGGCAGACCCGGGGACGGCGGAGTCGGAGCAGACGGCATCGGCTGCCGAGGAAACGTTGGGAAGAGGCACGAGGAGGGCGGCGACCTCAACCGACTATGGAGGACCCGTCACCAGACGACGCAGGGCGGACGACGGGGAGGCGGAGCAGACGCGCAGGGCGAGACGAGGGAGGGAGCAGGATGTTGCGGAGATCAGCAGGAGGATGTACGACGAGATTAGGAGCAGCAGGGACCCGAGGGACCATGTGCGGAAGACGGCTAGTGCTAGTCCCCCATCGGGAGGACGACCCCGGCTAGTCGCCGACCACACCCACAAAGAACCCTGCACAAAGACCGCAGGGCGGGGACCTGTTCCTTTTTACCCATCTCCTAGTAGAGGTGTCCGTTTTATTTATTTATTTACACGCGCGCCATCGGCATCGCTTGAACAGCGATCAGAACTTGACGCGGTAAACGACGAATGCCTCCCCAAAGCCGGTCCTATGACACCCGCTGCGACCAGCGCTCCCGGTATGCCCTCGCCGAGGGAGTTGCCGCCACGCGCAAAATCAAAGCTCATGACGAACTCATCCGGTGACTGGATGTGCGTGTCAGCCTGGGCGGGTGTCGAGAGGGCTCCGTGGGGTTGGTCAGCGGCGACGCTGTACTGTGCGTCCTCGCCGTAGGCCTCCTCGCCGCGCGCGTCGAGTTCGCCCTCGCCGAGGTGATCCGAGTAGAGGATCCAGATAGCCAGCTCGCCCCGGTCGATCGTTCTTCTGCTTGGTCAGATACATGGGCAGCATCGCGTTCCCTCCCACCCGCTTGGGCACTGGAAGCGGCAGAGCCACCTTGTTGGACATCCACGAGTCGCCTGGGGTGAAGACCACAGACGCCGCAAACTTCTCCGGTCGCACGACTGGCGTCGGCGCTTTGGATGGCGGCGGAGCCCCGCGACGCTCGAGCGCCGCCTGCAGGCGCTCTGCCTCGTCGAGCTTGTCGCTGATCGACCGGTTGCCCTCTTGTAGCTGTAGGGCCGACTTGAGATGCATGATGCTGACATCGACCTCCTTGGCGGCCACTTTGCGCAGCCGCAGGGCCTCGGCAGCGTCTGTCTGGCCGCGCGCCTCCGCAGCGTCGACCAGCCGAGAGCGTAGGGACTGCACCCCGAGCGTGGCTCGTCCGAGCCTGAAGAGCGCCTTTGCGTTGCCGCCCATCATCCTGGAAAGTTTCGCGGCGTCTTCGGCGTCGTACGACGCTCGTTTGTACGCGTGGACGCGCTCCTCGCCGTAGCCGCTCATCGCATCAGCGAGCTCGAGATGGCAGGCCGCCCGGTTGTTGAGCAGCGGCAGCAATGTGCCGATGTTGAGGCCGTCTCCGCGCCCGTTAGGACCGCCGAGCGCCTCGTCGTACGGCTCTACCTGCGCAGCGCGCCGTGGTAATCTTTGCGACGGAAGCACTCGTTCCCTGCGTTCTTGAGCTGCTCAAGCGCGGCCCCGACATCGCGGTGAGCCAGCGATACGTTTTCTTTTGATCGGGCTTATCCGCTCGTAAACGCGTCCAGCCTTCACGCGACCCCCTCCCCCTCCTCTGACACGAGCGCCACCATGCGTCGCACCGCCGCCTCGCCGCCGAGCGCCTCGGCCAGCTCTGGCGGCACGCCGCGGGAGATGCAGACCTTGGCCTGCGCCTGCTCGCTCATGAAGGGCGCGACGCACCTGCCAGAGGGAGAGGAGGGAGAGGGCGCTCTCGACGGGAGAGGGTGCGCACACACCGCCGCCCTAGCCGCCTCCCCCTCCCCCGCGCCGCGCACCGCCAGACCAGCGCGGCGACGGTGGGCGCGTTGAGGACGTAGCACTTGTAGAGCAGGTCGGGGAAGTGCTCGCTCCCAATGGCGAAGATGCGCTTGATCGCCGGCCGGTGGGCTCGCACCTCCGGGAGGGGGCGGGTGGCGTGGGTGGAGTGGCTGGGGGTGGGGCACCGGGAGAGGGCTCGACACTCGGTCTGATGCGCGGCTGTCTCCCGCGGGAGGGACCAGAGGGGCCACCTCGGAGTCAGGCCCCTAGGGTCGACGAGGTGTCTCGAGAAGTGTCTCGGAAGTGTCACCTCCGAGAGGAAGCTCCAGGCAGAGAGGTCGGCGCAGTCGTACACATCGTACGTGCCGCGGACGGGATCGCCGCGCCGCCGGCTGCTGTCGCCGAGCAGCCGCTGCGCGCCCTCGAACCAGAGCGCGACGAAGTGCATCAGCTCCTCCTCGTCAAACGCGGCGAGCGTCGCCGCCACCTGCAGCTGCGACAGCCTCGCGTAGCAGACAGGGCTCCCGTCTGGCACCTCGCTGCCGGGCAGGTAGGCGAACGGCCACCGGTCCCTCGCCGGGTGCTCCTCCACAGCTCTCCAGAGCTCGGCGTCGTCCGCGACGAGGCCATTCGCCTGTCGGAACGAGAGCGTGTCGGCAATGCGCACTGCCGCCGCCTCAGGATCGTTGCCGCCGGTGCGGAGGTAGGCGAGCGCGCACGCGTCGCCGCCGCCCCTGGCGTGGCGGAACTGCCGCCACGCCGGCTCGAGGGAGGCCCAGTCGGCTAACCGCCGCAGCGATTGCACAAGCGCGGCCAGCGCGGTTGCCTCCTCAGAGTCGTCCAGCTCAGAGTCGCACTGGGAGGCCGACGCCAGAGCCGCACCAGCCACGGCGGCTGCTGCTAGCCACGAATGACCGCGGCGATGCCGAACGGGGAAAGAAACGTGAGCAGGCGCACGGATTAGGGAGCGGCGTAGTAGCACGCCCAGCATCGGCAGGGTCGCGAAGAAGAATTTTACCGCCACATGCGGCCCGCTGGGTGCGCTTCTTAGCTCCCCGGCCCTGGATGTGCGGTTAATGACTGCACTCCAAGTGCTCCAAGTGCGTGCAGACGATGTAGAGTGTACTGTTTAAAATCCCTGTGTGGTGGCGGCGTGCCGTCCTCCCATCCCCCCCTTGGGTTGTCTGTTTTCTTTCTTTGTGATCTGTGATCTGTGAGGGTCCGCCCGCAGGCGCATTTTGTATACCGAGGCGGTGCCCGGTGCCGAACCTGTCGGACCTTAAGAGACAGCGTTGTAGATCCCTGGGCGAGGAGGGTGGTGGAGAGGGCGGTCCGGCGGCGGAGCACCCACCTCCTCCCGGCGTGCCGGGAGGCAGGATGTCATCCCCCGTGATCCAGACTACCCCGTTGGAGGTAGGCCGCTCGTCTAGCCAATCAGCCTTAAGCGAGCGGCCTGGCCACGTTGGAATGGCCGGGTGGAGAGAGGGGCGGAGTCGGCTCGGAAGCGCGACTGCGCAGCCACGGGGACTGCCAGCCCACTCTCGTCGGGTTGAGGGGAGGACGACTGTCTCCGCAGGACCTCAGTTACGAGCCGTCCTCCCCTCGAGACGCGAGGCCAGTGCACTTGGGGCCGAGCCCCAGCGTACACCGTCCCACGCGCCTCACGCGGCCTCTGGCTGGAGCGGGATCGCAAGCGAGTCCCCCAGGCCGGCGCGCGTCTTCCGAGAGAGGAGCAGGAGCGAGGGAAATTCTTAGTAAGCCGGCATGCAGATGCATGCACGGCCGTTCAGAAACTCTCCAGCCGTTGGAATGGCTGCGCTCCCGCCCCTCACGCCGGGTGGACAAGCGGGGGGGAGGTCAGGCATGCCGACCTTTCGGAGCCCCCCCTCGTAGACGTGTGCCGCTGGGATCATTCCAGTACGCCCTCTCTCCCCATCTCTCACGGTTGTCGCCAAGGTGATGCGCGACGGCGCGCTGCGCTCGCTCGGCGCGTTTCAGTCGGCGGAGAAGGCCGCGGCCGCACACGCCGCGGCAGTCGGCGAGGCGCCCGCCACGTCGCTCGCGGCCCAAATGGCCGAGCAGCAGCAGGTGGCGGAGGAGCAAGTGGCGGAGCAGCAGGTGGCGGCGGCGGCCACTGCGATCGCGCCAGACCCCGCGCCCCTGGACGGCGTCGGGCCGGCTGCGGTGCCTCCGTGTGGGGCCTAGGCCTTTGGGCGGAGGCGCGGCTGGCGAGGACGGAGGTGAGGAAGGCCCATGCTTGGCCCATGGCGCGTGAGGACGTCGTCGGCGGCGGGGGTTGTGCTCTGGGTGCGGGGGGTTGCGGGGTTGCAACGGCGCGGGGAAATTCAGACGGGGGCGGCGCGCGGACCTCTGCTTTTCATTGAGCGACGAGAGCCGTGCTTCTTCAGGACGATTGTGGTGTTTGGGCTACCATCTATCAAATTTGGTGTTTGGGCTACCATCTACGAAACGATTTGATACAAGAATGCACCAAGCACTGAGCACGTGCACAGATGCGCGGCCCGGGTCGGTGTGTCGGGGCGGGCGCCCGCCTTCAAGTTGCCGAGAGGAGCCGGCGCCCGGTCCGGCCAGAGCCGCACGCGCAGCGTGCTCGCGCGGGCATCTCTAGTGCCTAATCTGCTATTGCACCGCGCCTGTTGCTGCTCTAGATGGTGCCGGGGCGCTTCATGCGGGAGCCCTTGGTCTTGGGCGGTGGCGCCGGCTTCTTGGCAAACAGACCGCCGAGGAAGGTCTTCTTCCACTCGGCCTCCTCCGACTGGGTGGTGCCCGAGGAGACGGCGGCGTCGGGCGCACGCGAGCCCACGGTGTAGCCCCACCTGGATCGGAAGGTGATGCGCGTGAGCTTGATGCCTTTGCCGCTGCGGCTGTCGGGTGTTCCTGTCGGAGTCGGAGCATCTATTCAGCCTCACAGCGGGTTGCCGGCCTTGCCAGGCTTCTGAGCGTTGGGGCCAGACATGACAATGCTGCTCCGCGAGCCGCGGAGCGCAGACGCCGGCGCGGTGAAGGCGGCGGCGAGCGCGAGGCACAGCGCGAGGAGGAGGAAGCGGAACATGGTTTCTGCGGGCAGGGATGACCAAGAGTGGTGAGGCGCGTGCACCGTCGGTGCGTTGTCGGGAGGCCCTATCCAGTGGGGCGTGTTAGAGGTGCTCTCTGGTGCGAGCGATCTCTTGGAAATCCAACTGTACTGTGCTTTCTTTTTGAGCTTAGCCTTCGATGTGATGAAACAAACGCAAGGCGGACATGGCATATCGCTCTCGGGCCCACAGACATCCCGCACACCCGCCGCCCCCGCGCGCGCCCCACCTCGGCCGGGAGAAAGGGGAGTGACAGTTTGGGATGAAAGCCCGCGAGTATGTTGAGTCCTGGCTCAACAACGCAGGGAACAAGAGGGGGTGGTCCGGCTCACAGGTCCGGCTCACGCGCCTCGAGCTTACCATCTACCGCACTGGTCACTTCCGCCCCCTCGCTCCCAACCCACTCACCTCGCCCCGGGCCGCGCCGCGCGATCTCGGGCGATCTCGCGCTATCTCGGGCGATCTCGGGGCCGCGCCGCGCTATCTCGGGCGATCTCGGAGCGTCGCTCGCGCGGCGTCACACCTGCTCAAAAAGGAAGGAGGTTGGAGGCAGGAGGTCACGCCCCATCCAGAGCGCCGTCGTCACCGGGTTTTTGGCCCCCGGGTCGTCGCCCGACGGTTGCTGCGCGGGGCAGCAGACCATCGGACGGCGCGACGACGCCCCGTCCGGCACGCTCCCCCCTCCACCCGGCTATTGCCGCACGAGCGCCCTCAGCGGCGGATTTTTTCCCTCGCGCTTCCTTGGGCCCCCGGCAACGCCGACGGACTTCCCGTCCCCCCACCTGCGCCGCAATCAAGGTCGGCGCCGCGCCCCTTGGTGTCTGTGCATGTCCCGCGTGCCCGCCCGCCAAGGCTGGTGCCAAGGCCAACTCAACTGCCAAGGCTGGTGCCAGGGCCAAATCAACTGCCTGGCTGGTGCCAAGGCTCAAAGGCTCTCCTCTCTCTCTGCTCGCTCCGCCCTCTCTCTCCCTCCCTCCCTCCCTCCCTCTCACCCCCTCCCCTCTTCTCTCCTCTCCCCCTCCTCCTCTCTCCTCTCTCCTCCTCTCTCCTCTCCTCTCCTCTCCTCTTCTCATCCTCTCCCCTCTCCTCCTCTCCTCTCTCCCCCCCTCTCTCCCCCAGCAGCTTCCTCGAGGCCGAACAGGTAGATCCTCCCTGATCGCTAAGCTACCACAGGGGACAGCCAGGTAGTAGACGTCGTCCGCCGCCGCCTCCGCCGCCCGCGTGCCTCCGCCCCGCTCAGCAAAAAATCAGCATTATATCAGGAGGTGCCAAAGCAGCAGTATCTCCATGAGGTGAGCGTCGTGCGTTTTGCCGCCGCGTGCCGCCGCCGCGCCGACTGGCTCCCGGTTCGAATCGCCCTTCGCGGAGCGAACGCGGCGACACGAGCGCACGTCGCGCGCGTGTGCGCCTGCGACAAGACGAGACGAGACGAGAAGAGAAGGAGAAGTAGACGGTTGATGTTTTGGCGCCGACGACGCGACGCGCCCCGCTGCGTGAGATGGCGCCGCCGCGGAGTCGGCGCCGCGTTCAACCGCGCGCCAGCGGCGAGCGGCGCAGCGCGGCCACCATGCGGCGCGACGTGCGCCGTAAGAACACAGACCGACCGAAACACAGTCCGACTGATTGATTGATGGGAAGGCGAAACACAGTCCGACCAACGACTGGGACACCAACGCGGTATGGCGAAGAGGTATTTTTTTTCTCAATAACAAGGCTGTGAAACAGCTGGTGTGAAATTGCTCCCTGTGACTCGCCTCGGTTGTTCTCAAGAGATGTGCGTCTCGCAGATCGCAGGTGCTCCCAGAGGTTGCCATTCACCTTTCTGACGCACCGCACACCGCACAGATGTTCCGCTTCCTCCTCCTCGCGCTGTGCCTCGCGCTCGCCGCCGCCTTCACCGCGCCGGCGTCTGCGCTCCGCGGCTCGCGGAGCAGCATCGTGATGGACGGGTACAAGACTGGCACCTGGGGTGCGTACAAGGCACCCGACGGCCCGCAGAAGATCGGTCACACCGCCATCGCCGTCGGGGAGAGGGGGGACGGCACTGCTTCTGCAGCGTGCACCTCGATCCTGTACCGTGTTTGTTATGACCCCCCCCCCCCCAATGAACACACCAGTGAGGGTGGGCGAGACGATCGAGGGGTCCCGTACCATGCGGAATCGACCCTATCAAGTGCTCAAGTGCTCAAGAAAGGTGAAGAACAGCCAGGCTCGGACTGGACACCAGCGCGGTATGGGTGGACGCGGGACAGATGATGACGACGCGCACGAGCGACACACAGACACAAACAGGCTCACACACAAGGCCCCGCCGAACGCGTGCGTAGTCGCTCCGCCGAGGCCCGAGCCGCCGAACGCCGTGCGTTTCTCGGAAGAGGCGTGCTCTGGATGGGAGCAGCCAGCACGTCCGTCCCCGGGTGAGTTGGAGAAAGTTCTAAACATGTTTGCTAAAGTCAAAGATTATCTTCTTAGAGCCGTAGTTTTTCAAGAGGCTAGTACTTGGCTATAGCCTCGAATGACGATCGAATGCGTCCCTTCTCAGTAGTAAAGAGCAAGACATCGGAAATCTGCGCTGCGCCGAGGAGGCGCATCCTGGTTCCCAATGTCGACTGCCTGGTGATACACGTAGTTGGATGTGATATCTGGCGACGGCTCCCAGCCCCCGTGTGATGAGGCGTCTCCAATCTCAAGTTTCACTGTGGAGTCGCTGTCCCACTGTTTGAAGAGGATTGCTTCGCGATTCGTCATGTTGGGGAAATAGTGCCATTCGTGCCTGGGATACGCCTTCAGTAAGGGGAAGAACTTTGCTTGCGGGTCTAGAGATGCCGCCGACAAAAGAGCAAGGGGATCGCGCTGCACGGCGTGTGCCGGGTCCAACGAGGTCCACACGTTCCAACCTATTACGCGCTTGGCCTTTGCATTCCTGAAGGCGGCCCCCTGCTGCCGAAACGCAAAGGTGTCTGAATGAGCGCCGCGCTGATGCGTCAGACCCGAACGACGAAATGTATGTCGAAACACATGCACTTCTTGGGCGTTCGTACGTCTTTTTACTACCTCAGCCACGCGCTCGTATTCATGATCCTCGAGCTCGACAGGATCATGACCATCCATGATCTCGCTTCGCCAAAGAAGCGGCGCCTCGAGCTGCAGCAGCTCGAAGCCGTCTTTCTCGAGAGTAGGCTTCGACTTTCGCCCGTTGAGTATTGTCATCTCTTTCCCTCCATCACCCAGGTACTCGATTGATCCCACCATGGAGTCCTGCAGGATGATAGCCTCCGGCTTGAGACTGCCATCTCCGGTGCCGCAAAACGGCGCACCAGACGACTCTGGTGGCGATGGCGGAGACTCGTGGTCGACGTCGCTCGTCTCGACCAGCTGGCGGCGAGCTGCGGGAGACGGCGGGCGCGACAGGCCCGTGACCCCTTCCGCCAACCTCTTGGCGGGCGGCTCGCCGGTGGCGCAGCCGAGAAGAAGGGCAGAGACGAAGAAGACGAAGAAGACGCGCATTTTGGAAGACGCCGTTTACGGCTTTTCGCTTTTCTTTCGGCGGGGGAGCAAGGCGAAGCAGGATGGGTGAAGCAGGTCTTCATAAAATAAATTAATTTCGAGGGGAGACTTGCACCGTTTTCTTTTTCCTCGCGAGTCCAAGCCTTCCGAAACCATCGCAGAGCCGCCGAACGCGTAGTCGCTCCGCCGAGCCGCCGAACGCGTGCGTGTTTCTGTAGGGCTCCGCTAAAAGATGCCCCTGCGTTTTATTTAAGGAGAGGAGTGAGAGAGATGTTTAGCAAGACCGCGACCATCTCGGGCGACAAGGAGAACTTCTACAACACGATCGCCCAGGCGCTCACGGCCGACAACAAGCCTGACCCCAACGGCTGTGGGCACGTCAAGCTCCTCGACTGGATCCGCAAGCGACGCCCTGACCTCCTACCCGTCGCTCGCCTCATCATGGGCACGCCCAGCTTCATCCGCCTTGTCAAGGCCGAGGGCGCCTTGCGGCTGCCGTCCGCCGACGGCGGCGACCTGGACTTCTCCGCCGCCGATTGGGACCCACTCAGCCTCGAGTGCCCCGACTACAACGACCCCAACTACGCCAAGTCCGCCTGCGGGGTCATCCAGGGACGTGCGCTGTCCACCATCCTCAGCGTCTGCTTCCTCCACGACATCTGCCACGCCGTTGCGCCCGTCTGCCACGCCAAGACAACCCGACCACGCGCCTCATCGGTTTTGCGGACGACATCTGCCAGAACGACGAGCCCTCGCACGCCGTCGACGCCTACTCCGGACCAAAGGGCCTCCTCGAGGCGCAGAAGGAGGGAGCGAGCGTCTTCGACGGCGTCAGCAAGTCGCTCATCTACTCGCCCGAGGGCGACCTCTCTTGCGCGCCGGGCTGGCTCCGGGGCTCGCCCGCGCACCGCGACAAGGAGGGCAAACCCACGGGGCGAGTGGACTGCTTCAAGGCCGTCGGCACCTTCTTTGGCGACCCTGAAGCCTGCAAAAAGGAGCTCACCGCGCACCTCAGGAAGAAGCTCGCGCCGCTCGACGTCATCGACACGATCGTCGACACTGACTGCGTCACGAACACCTCGCAGCTCCGCCTCAACCTCGTCAAACGGATTGCCTGCGCAAAGACCAAGTACATTGCCGGCATCACGCCGCCCAATGTCGCGTGCGAGGCTCTCGAGTTTGCGCACAACCGCATCCGCAAGTCCTTTGAGAGCATTGCTTGCGCCGACGCCTCGCGCCCCAGGCGCTCCGCGACCTCGCGTGGCTCCTGGCGCAGCTGCCGACCGAGATGGGCGGGTGCAACATCGACACCGCCTTCTCGCGAGCCGACAGCGACTTCTCCATGTCGCTCCTCAAGAACTGGCGCACCCTCGTCGCCCACAACCCCGACTTCGCCCTCGACGAGGGAGGTGCGTCCACGTACCCCGCCATCGCCGCAGCTATCGCCACCTACGAGTCCGCCCTCTCGGACTGGAAGGAGGTGTGCGAGAAGCGCACCGCCCGCGACAAAAACAAGTACTACACCGTCCGCGGCGGCTACCTGACTGAGTTCTACCCCAAGAGCATCCCGCTCCCCGAGCCCGAGTCCCTTCCAGCTACCGACGCGATTCTCAATGGCACTTGCAAATCCACGTACCCGCGGCCGCGGGCGCTCGCTGCCATCAAGAATCACAAGGACTGGTTCGCGCACCTGCGTCAAGGCGCGGGATGTGCACGTCAAGAACAACCCGTCCCTCGGAGACAGCGCCGTCAACAACAACCCGTCCCTCGGAGACAGCGCCGTCAACAACCGCGAAGCCACGCGCCTCGTCTCCGCCTCAACGCCTTTCGCCGGCAAGGCCTTCGATGTCCGTGTCGACGGTACGTACGCCACCGCCCTCTCCTCCGACACCCTCCAGGACGAGCTCCAGCGGAAGCTCGGCCTTTGGCTCTCCGCGGCGCTTCCCACCCTTCGGGTCGCGCTCGAGCGGGGCATGCCAGTCGATTTCTTCGGCGACTACCTTTACAACAAGGCCCACCACCGGCGGCCCCACGACGGCGTCCTCGCCGCCTGGGCGGACGCGATGCGCGCCCCGGCCAACGCGCCGGTCGTGCACGGCGACAAGGAGAAACCAGAGCTCACCCGGCAGTACAACGAGGGCTACAAGACCGACCTCGCAGAATCCCATGCAGGGCCGGGGGGATGCGATGAAGTGAATGAAGTCGAGCTCTGGACGCCCCTCCTCAAGACCTCCTCGACGGGCGTTGGCAACGCCTCGAGTGGCGGCACGCCCGCCTCCGTTGGCCACTCCTACGCCTTTGGTAACACCGAAGAGAAGGCCCGCCGCCTAAACATGGGCTGTAAGGCGCGCGGGTAGCCCGGCCAACCCTTCTCCCACAAGACCGGCCACGGCTACGTCAAGGCGCATCGCGGTTTCTACCACGACGCGATCTTTGTCAAGCGCAACAACTTCAACCTGCTGCTCCACGAGACTTTCGGCGGCGGCTTCTCGCCCACCGCCGTTCTCAAGCTGCGCCGCCTCGCGCGCAAAGTCGCGCGCGGCAGCGTCGACCGCACGGCCTACTCGCCCAAGTACTCGCTTTCTTTTATGTCCCAGCAGAGCGCATCTCTCTCTCTGTTGTGCGAGGCGTGAACCGCGCCATTCGCTCTCACCTGGCAACCCTGTCTGCACGTCTCGCGCGCGCGTGAACAGGGTATGCATCTTATCGGCAGTGTGGGGCTAGCGCGTCAGCAGTCCCCAAAACGATCGTCCAAAAACGGCCAGAATTGAAGTCGGCCGTCAAAAGCTGTCCCCCCAACGTACTTTAAACTCCGGTGAAGTTCTGTTTTCCAACAACCTTTATATGCCAGGGCTCCAGGCCCCAAATGACGTGTGAGCTGAGTGTTAGAGTTGTTGAGGAGTGTGATGCGCTAGCCGTCGCCCACCCTTTCTTTCGGGCGTCCGCCTCTTCCTATCTCTCTTCACAGTCTCTCGCCGATTCTCGCTGCAACCTTCATGCCACCTCGCGGCACGAACGAATAAATAAATAGAGCAGTCAACCCCTGGTGGGATTAGGGCAGCGACCCGACGGGCAGACCCCGCCCCGCTCGCTCGCGGAGGGCGTGCACCACACAGCACACAGACTTATCAGGCACTGCACGGCTCCTCGCGGCACGACACTGGGCACACGGAGGGCGTGTTTAAAATTCTTTTGGAAGCCGTCGCCCGCGCCTCGCCTGTCGCGTGAATCGTGTCGCACAAAAAATTCTTTTGCGCGCGCCCGGCCAGGAGGGGCGGCCAATCACGAGTGTCGGAGAGGTGTTTTCGACACCGAGTGTATGTTCGTCCCGCGCCTCCTCCTCTCCGCCCTCCTCCTCGTCGCGCCGCCGGCGAGTGGTGCACGTCTCTCCGGGCTTCCAAGTCTCGCCTCCGCTCGCGATCGTGCCGGCGCCGCGCTCCTTCGCGCAGTCGATCGAGACAGGGACGGGGAGGTGCGTTCCCCCGCCACCGCGGCCACGCCGCTTGGCCGCTTCTTCCCTGCACCTCGCCGCCGCCTGCGCGCCCGCTCCTGCTCCCCGCCACTGACGCCGGCCTCCCTCCCGCCGGAGCAGGTCAGCCTGGAGGACCTCGAGCGCTGCGTCGCCTCCATTGGCAGGCCGGTGGCCGGCGGCGCCCGCGCCGCGGCCGCCCTTTGGTCCCGCCACAGCGACGAGTGCCTCGCTGCCGCCGGCGCCGCCGGCCTGCTGTACGGCGGCCCATTTGCGTACTCGGTCCTCTTTGTGCGCGCCTTCACGGGGGTTGGGTGGGCTGCGGTGCGCGGCGTGCTGTCGCGGCTGCGCGAGGCGTACCGCCGCGCCAAGGAGCTGCCGCCGAGAGAGACCGAGGCGCGCGCGGCGCGCGCCGCTGCGCTTCGCTCCGAGCTTCGCTCCCTCGCGATCGAGTGCGAGGCGACCGAGAGAGTCCTATTCCTCTCGGCGCACAGGGGCGGCAGGGCGGCGCCGAGGAGCGCGCGCACCACCGCGGCGGAGGCGCGCCGCGCCGCGCTCCTCGGGCGGATGCGCGACGTGCGCTGCGAGCTCGACGCTCTCCCTCCCTCCCGCCGCGCGGCTCCCGTTCTCGCGGCGGCGGCGGCGCACGACCCACTCGCCCTCCGGGACTTGTGCCTGGCGCTGTGCGCGGCCGCCGGCGCCTCCCTCTCCGCCGCCACCTCCTCCGCGGCGCGCGCGCTCTCGCTCGGGGAAAGCGTCGGCGAGCGCATCTCTGGCCTCGGCGCCTGCGCGTCCAGAGAGGCCAAGGTGAGTCTCCCCTGCCGCCGCAGCGGCGGGGCAACCTCCCGTGAGAGCGTCGCCTCTTCCCACCCGCCTCTTCCCACCCGCCGCGCCGCCCGCGAGCCAGGTGCTGCTCCGCCGCCTCACGTCGGGCGGGTCGGCCGAGTGCGCCGCGCTGGGCACTGTCGCGCCGGGCGCCGCAGAGCGTGTCCTCACCTTCGCCTTCGGCCCGACTAGCTGGCCGCGGGCTCGCCGTGCAAAGGGGCGACTCTTCAACACCTCCTGCTGCGAGCAGGCCGGCTGGCTGGCTGCTGGCTCGCCGTGCGGCTGCAGGCGGCGTCGATGCGACTCCACGTCGCGCTGCTGTCGGCGCAGGCGGCCGGCGTAGCGCGCGTGCGCGCGCGCGATGCGGGCTGTTGTGTGAGCGCGTGCTGAGTCCGGCGCCCCTCTCCACGGCGCAGGCGCTGGTGCGTGGCCTCGGCTCCGCCGCCGCGTCCGCCTCGCCGCCGCGCGACCTCTCCTCGCGCGCGCTCGTGCCGGTGGTCGGCGGAGAGCCGCCCCGGCGCGAGGCGTTCGTCTGGGCACTGGCGCTCCTCGGCTTCCGCGCCGGCATGCGCGCCTCGCCGCCGCCCCTCCTCCGCCTCCTCCTCCTCCCGCTGTTCGCCGTCGAGGCGCCCCTCCCGCGCCGCCGAAGAACCCTCGCGTGCGGAGCTCGTGAGCTCACCGGCACCCGCACCGTCTGTGTAGGCCTCCCTTCGCGCCGTCGCCGCCCGCACGGTTCGCGCCGTCTGAGACGCAGCGGCGCCCAGAGCGACGTCGCACGCGAACCCCATCGACGGGAGCGGGAACGGCAGCGAGACGACCTTCCCGAGGTACAGTGCCCTGTTCACGGCACGGCCAACAGAGTCTGTAGATGATATGTGTGTTAAGTATATACCCGTCTGAGAGGCGATTGTCTGCGTGTACGTGGCTGGGTTCACAGCAGAAGAGGAAATAAATGTGGGGAACACTTGACGGTCGCGGCCTTCGAGTCGGCTCACTGGCACTATTGTAGCCCTGGCCGGTGCGCGTGCAGAGTTGAAGCTCCGGAGTGAAAATTCGAACGCGTTCTCTGTGACCAAAAAATGTCCACCTCAGAGGCACCTCCGCGCGGAGGCAGGCCGCCGCCGCCGGCGACACAGCTCCAGCTGTCGAACTGACCCGCAGCTCCTCTCAGAGCGGGACGACTGCGACGAAAGATGACTGAGGCGGTTGTCAGGAATCATCATACGGATCACATGGTGGCCCTTTCATGACGGGAGACCGCCCGACCACTCCTGGGTGGCACTGCCGCCGGGGTGTCGCTCGACGTCCGCCTGTCGACAGCGTGCCGACAGCGACACATACCATGTGGGACGCGTCGAGTATCGACCTCTACTGCTTACGCAGCCTTCGAGTGTATCCTGGCTGTGGTCCCACACCCACTGGTGTCCATCTCAGAGACCGCAGGAGGTCATGAGGGTCGATGGGAGTGCCAACCCCACAATGCCTAAACGCGAAAGACCCAGCCCAGTATATAGAATACGAAATAAAACGGACACCGCTCTCTAGCTCTACGTAGCCTCGACTCAGTACTCTACACTAACAGATGGGCTCCTACCCACAGCAGCGCTGCAGTAGCGCACACAGTCACACTCACTCTCACAACACACAAGAGACGGGTCGGCGGATTTTCGTTCTGTGTCATTCTGCGAACCCCCCCATAGGTGTATATAGCGTCTGGCCGAGAGAGCGTTGGACAGAGGCACGAGGAGGGCGGCGACCTCAACCGACTATGGAGGACCAGTCGCCAGACGAGGCAGGGCAGACAACGGGGAGGCGGAGCAGACGCGCAGGGCGAGACGAGGGAGGGAGCAGGACTTTGCGGAGATCAGCAGGAGGATGTACGAAGAGATTAGGAGCAGCAGGGACCCGAGGGACCATGTGGAAGACGGCTAGTGCTAGTCCCCCATCGGGAGGACGACCCCGGCCGGCTAGTCGCCGACCACACCCACAAAGAACCCTGCCTGCACAAAGCGATCGCACGGGCGGGCACCTGTTCCTTTTTACCTATCTCACAGAGAGGTGTCCGTTTTTAAATGTATGTGGCTCTTATGTACATTCCCGGAGGAGGACTGCTGACAGGGTTTGCGATGTTATTTTATTTATTTATTTGTTTATGTCCGGTCGCTGCTCGCTGGTATGACTGTTCTTTAGTACGAGAGTGTAACATACGCGAGTATGTAAAGCCTGCTCGCTGACTCGCGTCGGAAGCATGGCAGACGAAAATATCAGCCGCAGCGAGAAGCGCATCCTCCTTCTTCTCAAGTCCTGCTACGCACTGGCCTGGGGCGCCCTCACCGGCATCACCTACCAAATCTCAGCTCGCTTTGCAACCGTCATGACGGGCAATCTTCTCCTCCTCGCCGTCGAGGCCCGAGAATGGAGGGTTGAGGAGATGCTGCTAACTGCCTCCCTCATCGCCGCGTATATCGGCGGCGGAATCGCGTACGATGCGCTCAACATCCTCGTCGAGGATAAGGGCAGGGTTCTGGGCGTGGCGATGTTTGCAGTGGTCTCCATGGGTGCGCTGGGCGACGGGCTGCGGCACGCACAGCAGAGCTGCACGGAAGGAGATAGGGGAAGGACCCTGCTGTGCGAGGGAAAGGACCTCTATTTCCTCACCCCTATCTCCTTCCTCACGGGCATCGTGGCCGGTGGGTACTGCAATGCGCACCCCGACGGGGTCGTCTCGACCCTCTTGACCGGGCACATGCGCATACCTCCTAATGCGCTGCTGCAGATCTGCCTGGGACGGGCCAAAGACGCCTCGGCGCGGACCATTCTGAGAGATAAAGCTGTATTGAGCCTGGCAATAGTCGTGGCGTTCTTCTGCGGCATCCTCGCTGGTGACGCCGTCGAGGACCGCGTTCGGGAGCGGAACGCGAGGAGGGAGTTCACGCCGGTCTTCACCCTGGTCGGAGGCTTCCTAGCGGCACTCTGCGTGGCGCACAGCCGACTCTGCGAGCGGTTCTTACTGCATCACCGAAGGTAGGAGGAAAAGGTGTAGGGCTCCGTTGGCGGCTGGCCATTAGGTAGCCATTCCATGTAGTCTGTAGAGGATGTAGTGTGTACGTCAGAGAGCGCTGCTGTAGACATGTAGAGCGCTGTAGAGCGGGCGTCCCCGACCGAGCAGACTGAAGCTCTCATGCGTCATGGACGGCCCTGACTATCCCTGACACACAGAGAGGCACGGAGGGACTGGCGCGCACACTCACTGGCACGAGCGCGCCTCCTCCTCGAGCTTGGCACTTGGAGCACTTGGAGTGCAGTTGGCAACCTCACATCCAGGGCCGGGGAGCTAAGAAGCGCACCCAGCGGGCCAGATGATCGCGAGGCGCGGTTTATTTTATTCTGTTCGGCGGAATTGGCCAAACGATGAACACGAGTCTGCTTTTACCGTTCTAATCTGCCTTCCGACGGCTGTTCCCACTCGCGAGCACCCCTGCTCCCCGCGACCATGCCGCACCACTTCGTCCGAGAGGCGATACGAGGTGGCGTCGGCTCCTCGCCCTACATGCTCGTCACCGACGCCAGATCCTTCGACGTGGCGAGCGTATGCTCCGCCTCTGTAGGCGCAAACCGCCCCAGGGAGAGGCACTTCTGAGAGACACCTCTAGGGCCCAGATCTGCAGCGCGACCTTGGCGGTCTCCTCACCCCTTCCCCCCTCCCTCGCCCCGCAGCTACCAACGTCAACATCTGCCAGGCAAAGCCAATACCCCAGAAGCCAGCGATCTCGACGACCACCAGCTCTAGCACCCTGATCCCTATGCACACTTATAACGATTGACGGCCTCTGTTCTTCTGACTGCTCTTTCGGCACCTCTGACACCGTCTCCTCGCCCTGTGTGTCAGTACACGAACGGAGCCTTCGACCGGGACAATTGTAACCCGAACCACCTCAAGTTTGGCGATACGATCGGGATCCAGGTATGCCTCGAGAACCTCTCAACACGGCCGAAAATGTGCTACCACGACCCTGACGACGCTTCGGCGCTCATTTGTGTGGGAGCGGAGCCCGTCGATGCGGTGCTAAAGAAAGACGTGAGTGGAGCACCCGAACCCCCCCCCCTTTTCTCTTGGCAGTCGCCGCTGTGGCTGCCTGCCATTGCCTCCTCATCTCTCACCGGGCGGATCGCTCGTGGCGCAGGCAAAAATAGTCGTCTTCCTGGCCGCAAAGGACTCGCAGGTCACACCGGTCCTGCGGCCGGAACTGCTAAGGTATTTAAGCTACCTCCCGGGCGATACAGGGAGTGCGTTGGAGCCGTACAGCTTTGCGATGCAAGCGACCGAACACTGCACCAACGCCAGCACTTGCGCAGTAATCACCATAGACGAGGAGTTTCCGCTAATGCACTCTCCTGGTCAGACTTGCCTCGGCGTCATCGAGACGCTCGCCGTGGCAGAAGGAGACTACAGTGAAATCAACCCCGTCGAGACGAAGCTGCTGTTCTACAGCGGCGCCCGCAGCGGGCTAGCCGACCTAGTTATCAAGGACGAGAAGTGCTACGACGGCATCACAGGCGGGGCGGGCGGCTTCACTATTGCGGCCATGAACATCACGCACCGGTATGAGATACTGCAGGACCCGCACCTCCATTTCGCGCACGGCGGACGCGCCGACTTCAGGGGGCGGCATGGGCGCCTCTACTCCTTCTTCTCCGCTCCTGGGCTCGCTGTCAACTTGAAAACGGAGAACGCCACATTTCCGCTCGACAGGAAGCTGGATGGTAGCCCGCCGCTCATCGTACACGGCAGCTTTGTGACCGAGGCGCACGTGGTGGCGAGGGTGGGCGGCGACAAGCGCAAGCTGGCAAACTTCTCCTTTTGGGCGTCGCGTCTCGGCGAGAACAACTGGGCGTGGGACGTGGTGACGGGCTCGTGCGGCGGCCACAAGTTTAAGCTGGGTAAGGGCGGCCGCAAAGCGTGTGAAGAGGCGGTTGCAAGCGTCGCGATGGCGCACGCAACTTTTACGATTGGGGACGTCTCGGTGGTGGTTAAGGGGAGCCCCACGCACGCCATCGCGGGGCCGAGCCATCGGCTGGACGTCGGCTTCACCCTGCACGGCGACTACGCCGCGCGCAGCCTGCCACACGGCATTTTTGGCCAGTCCTTCTCGTCCAGTAAGTCGCGGAACGGCAAGCTCGACATTTACCCCGAGGAGGGCGAGTTCACAACCGAGGCGATGGCGGAGGTGAGAAGCCCCGCCAGTCGCCTCTCTTCCGCCCCCGCCCCGCCGCTCGCCTCTCACCCGCCCTCGCGCCAGCAGGGCGCCATCGACGGCGACGCCGCTCTGTACGAGGTGCCCGGGCCGTACGAGACCGACTTCATTTTCTCGCGCTTCAACGCTGCGCCGGCGCCAAAGCTGGAGCCGGCGCTGGTGGCAGAGATCGGACGCACCGCCAGCGCGTCGAGCGTAGAGTCTGCTAAGTAGCGATAGGTGCTTACAGCTGAATTGTATGAGAATTTACAGAAAAGGGACAAGTGTCTCGAGAGCGAGAACGAAAAGGGAGAAATCTCTCGCTAGAGCGCGCGCAGATTGTGTGCAGCGCGCTCTCTCTCGCCCTCTCTTTCAACCGCCTCGGCCGCGGCCGGCGCGCCAAGCCACGGCGCGGAGGCGCGGAAGTCCGCGGAAGCCGCGTCCACAGCGCTCTCTAAAGTAGAGTGGTTCGAGCCGTGGGGTCCGCCAGCTCCGAGAGAGGCGAGCGTGTAGGCTCGACGTTGGTAGCCGGCGACGGGGCGGCGCGGACGTGGCAGGGGACGTGGGCGACGACGCGCGCACACTCGCGGAGCGACCCAACCTCCGCCTGCAGCCTCGCGAGCGAGGCTTCGTGCTCGGGTGTGGGCGCCATCAGCTCCGCGACGACCGCGGCCACCGAGCCGCGACCCAGCGTCGGCTCGAGC